GCAGATCATGTGAGGAACCAGACCAAACTGGTTAGAGTGTGAAATAATCGTCTGTCTGCTCGAAATCTTAGTGGGTCACTAATTCCGATGGCTTTGTTCCGACTTGCATGGCATGTTTATTCAGACTCTATAATGTTTGTCGAATGTGATATAAAGTTGATCTTAGAAATACATACGAGGTGTGTTCAAAAAGTAAGGTGACTCTTCAAATTTCGCGAATTTCAAATTTTTCGATTATCGAAACCTTTTAGAAGTTATACGAGGTGTGTTCAAAAAGTAAGGTGACTTTCAAATTTCAAATTTTTCAAATTTTTCGATTATCTTCAGTTTTGGGAACAAGAAAAAGTCACATGGGGCCAAATCCGGTGAATATGGTGGCTGAGGCATTATTGTGGTGTTGTTTTTGGCCAAAAAATCCAAATCCTTTGATCCATATTTTTCGATAGCAAAAAATCGCCGAGCTCGCAAAACAACTTGTAACTTTACGCCTCTCACAACCAAACAAAAGAGGATGTTCCATTGAAACTTGGTACAGATGTTAGGGAAGAGTGTACCAATATAACAAAACAAAAAAATCGATAATCGAAAAATTTGAAATTCGCGAAATTTGAAGAGTCACCTTACTTTTTGAACACACCTCGTATGTACTTAGCTATTCAGAAATTATAATGTTTAAGAAATGCATTTCTTTTTTAAAATATGTAATTAAAATTATTTGTAATTCATTTTGTGCCAGACTGATTGGTTTAGTGGTTAACAGAGGCATTTATTCAGAAATTTATTGTCTGGGAAATTGTATAATTATAAATATTTTAGGAACTTAATCAAAATATTCAAGACTTTTTGTTTTTAAGGCAAGACAGATTTGTTTTAGACTTAACACTCATACTAGGTTTTTAGAAATTTACTTTTTTTTAAACATTACATTTACATTCTTTTAAAATTTTATCAACATTATTTCTAATTTATTTGGAGCTTGACTGACTTGTTTCGTAGTAAACATACAGTCGGCACATACTAATTAATTCGTACACCCATGAGTTGGAAGTTTATTCCTTAATATCTCAAGATATACGTAACGGAAAATAAAATGTAATATCTTAAATGCATTTCGAGAATATATTTTAAACATAAAATTGACAATTTTCAACTTTAATTCTAGATAATTTCCTTAATAACACAAAAAAGTCATTTTTTTACGCACAAAAATTATTCGTACACTTCTCATTCTTGACTTACATTGTATGTATGTATATGTATTTCTGAATCCAACGGTAATCCGCGATTCTTTTTTTAACTGCACTTCGGAGCAAACTTCGGTGTACTACTTTGGATCTCATTCTAAATTATTTGAATTTGTTAGAAAATGAAATTTTTGACAAATGTGATATTTAATATGTTTTTTCGAAACTTAATTAAACTGAGAGACTGATTTTTTATAATTTATTCAGAAATTGTAAGGTTTATCAAATGTGATTTAAGCTTTGTATTATATTGAAAATCATCAACAAAATTTACTTAATAAATATGCTTGTCAATTTAATATTTTATTTTCGGAAACTAATCAAAATTTGTTCTATATTTTCGAAAAAGTTCCTTTCAAACGAAACAGACAAAATAATAAAAAAAAACTTTAATGTCTAGCAAACATGATTACACTTTTTTTTTAAATTTAATCAAAATTAATTGGAATTCATTTAGCGCGAAGCTGATTTGTTTCTTAGGAAACATTATAAACATTATAATGTTTGGGTATTTTATATTTTTTTTGGAACTTATCAAAATTAGTTCTAGACGGATTTGTTCCAAGCTAAACACATATAATTATTCAGAAATTCTAGTGTTTGGCCACCATTGCTGATAACAAGTCGTTTCCATGGAATTTATTCAAATAATCCCCAGCTCAGCTGTTGTTTCTTTATTTGCGAAGCTGCTTTCTGCGGAACGCGACCATCATAATCTAATGTTTAGCACGTGATTCTGGGAACAATTAAGTCTCAAATCCGAGCCAATTCAATAACTCAAAATTTGTAGAATCATGAAATCGGGGAAGGGCAATCGCCTCCAACCTTCTTATCAGCACACGCCAGGTTCTGCGACATCATGCTTGCTATTCTCCCGGCGACTCTGGGGCAAAAATTGTGTAATAATCACCAATAAAACGGTAATCTACCCATTGTAAGTTTAATTTACATGCCTGTTTGTTTACTTGGCTGGTATATCCCGAGAACCGAGCGGGTTAGAATTGTAAAATTTCCCCATTGGGAAACCCGTTTTCCAACGGCAAAATTCATTCATAAGCACGCAAACCTTGGTATTTCTCTGGGAAACGCAATCAATCTAATCAATTGACTGTGGAAAAGTTCAATGCTTTCGGGGTGAAGTGATTTGGTTTGATTTGATTATGGCCAAAAATATGGAAATTCTGGCCTTTTATCAGTGGAGATTTCCATGCCACCCATGTACATGTATCTATATCCCAGCTCGTAAATATCCCATGCGTAGTTGAGTTCTGCGTAAGTCCCGACCGATTATTCTACGCCGCATAATCCGCCCGGGCTGGAACTGAAAACAGTGATAAGCAGCCGAGATTCCGTATAACCACACAGCTTACGGGGAAATCCGCGCAGTTTAATGTTACCCTGAAGGCCGGCAATCGCGAGAATCGTCAATAAAAATAATAATATTTTGTATTATTGTACGAGTATTCCGTCGAAGACAACATGTTTGCATTCAATCGGGGGCAAATACTCCAATTAAAATCGATTTACCACAAAGAATGGAAAAGGGGGAGGGGATTTTCACGCAGGGAGCCCAGCACGCGCTCATGACAATCACATGTGCAGGTCCGCAGCTGAGAAAACTTTGACTTTGTCGCACGAATCCGAAACTAGTTTGCCAACAGGTTGTAAGTCGAGTGATTGCCGCTGTACGGGTATGGGTGGGTATCTGGGGGTATTCCAAAGAGCATTGAGAATTATGCTAATTCCATTTCCAGCTGGCCGGGGCTAGCACCGGCCCATATGAATCACACTCACCTTCGACGACATCGCCGCTGGAGGTGAATCTCTGAAATTTGCACTCTCCGCCTGAGGAATCCCGCCAAGTCACGCTCATAGCTCGAATCCGTTAATGGGCAAATATAATATGAAGCGTTCGGGGGGACAGAGCCAGCGAATGTGAATTTGCATGTCGCGGGTCCAAAACTTCCCCTTCTCCAATTCCCTAAGCCAAGGGGAAAGCTAGGCCGAGAGGCGACTTCAATTGTCAGTCAATGGCCGCATGGCTGGCTCGTTACTCAACCCGGAATGACTTTGTCGATTTGCCGATTTCAACGTTTTGGTCGGTTTGGAGTCGACATTGAGTACATGGCCCGTTCTTTGGAATTCACGCTTGATCCGCTGGATCAGGGTAAAGTACATACGGCGATGATTAAGTGGGGATCGCTTGTGTAAGCACCTGGTGATCACCTGGATCTTTGGTAATTAGCCCAATCGAGCTGTCCCCACGTAGATCACACCTATTAGTTCTAATGCACTGGGACAATACTGGAAGTGATAATTACTAGGGCATAATCTTTCGGGAGCACCATTAATCCGCCTGAAACCGACACAATTTATTTATTGTGCAATCCCCAACCAGATGTAACCATATGACCATGCGCAATAATCATTAGCGGAGTGAAATGTAATAGAGTTTACCTGTTTCTTAACTATCTTATTTGTGCCTAAACAAATTAAATGTATAAACTTGAAAGGGCTCATATCAAATTGTTAAGTGAGGTTGGCTTCGTCAAAAATATTCACTTAAGAAAACCAAAACTAAAGATAAACTCTATAATGAAGTCAGTTAGTCTCTTTTGTATTAGTAACTTATTAAAGATACTTAATGTTAATTAATATTTATGTCAATTAAGCATTTTGCCCACATTAATTTGAGTCTGTTTCACGTTCCTGTATTGCCCAGATGGAAAGTTTGTCTCTACGCAAATTCAATCAAATCTTTCCCCGCAGAAATCGTGCCCAGACACTCCGTCAAACTGACCTATGTATGGGCCATATAACTCCACTGCTAATAGTCCTAATCAGTGGCAAACTTTTTTCCAGTGATTTTCCCACGGCACGAGCTACCCGCATGCTTTTCCTGCCATCCAATGGACTGCCTATTGTCTCATTTGGTGGATCCGTCCATTAAGGCAAAATTGTGTGATGTCTGGCATTGATTATATTAACATGTCTCGGCAGCTTACCATCTGTCTGGTTAGTTAACTCAATTGCCATGATCGTGGACGTGTTGCGATTCGCCAATCGCTACCTCCAATTAAACAAAGTGGGTCTTGTTTGAAAATTAGAGCGTATCTGCTATCAAAGTGGTTATTTATGATCGCAGAACGATTTATATAGCCCCAATTAGACTGATTAATACATTTCACCACCTTCAAGTACTTTACAGCGTTTTAATTATAATGAGAATCAGCATGACCTATACGAGTACCTTAAATTAGCTTCGCAGTGATCAGAGATGGTGGCAGTTTAATGGGTAAACTGACTAATTTCACACCAGTTACCAGTTACCGATGGGCCACGGGATTTCCTCAATCAAACAGCAGGGCAAAGATTGATCGACCAATTCCTTCTCAACGCATCTCCCAGTGGCTCGTTGGCCTCGATTTCAGTGTTTATGCGTGGCTCACATTCGCTCGGGGTTCCGAGAATTCCATTGATAAGGGGCCCCAGCGAGGGCTCTATATGCATGGCACGCTCGATGGGGAAACCCCGGCAAGTTATACAAAGACCGATGACTCGTCGACCCGTTCCATATCCGAGGGATTCGGACTGATTGACGTCAGGATGGGTATTCAATCGCTGGAAGAGAGTGCTGAAAATGGGTTCAAAAATAACAAGACAGAGAAAGTTTGATTTTTTTATGTATTTTTATTTTCTTGATTTTTCTTTTTTTGTTTTAAAAATCTTTTGAATTTAATTTTTTTTCTTAAAATTAAATAACAATTTCTTTTTTTGTGTGTGTTTGTGTTTTTCTTGGGAAAAGCTAACATAACAAAACTTTAATTTATACAGGCAATTGGCTGCTCTCCTTTATAAGTGTAATTTACAATTTACGGCGTACAGAATAATTGTCATTATCAGTAAATTTGCGAGACGCTTAAAGCGAAAAAATTATACAGAAACAAATTGGCTATATGTATGTTTGTGTATGTGTGTCTCGGCAGCTGGTCACGCGCTTCAGTGTGTGTGTGTGTGTGATGCTGGGTGTGTGTGAGTGACTTCCGCGGGTATCTCAACTGCAGGTTCTGCCGCCTCGAAGGTTGCCTTTCAGTTGCAATTATCCGCCAAGGCACCGCCTTATCAATCTCTCAGCTTCACTCGACTCCACTCCACTGCTCCTCCTCCTCCTCCTCCTCCTCCTTACTGGATACAGTTAGGCTAGGGTATATATGTTACGATATACTATATACATCCTATGTAGGTATATGCCCGGCGGGCTTTTGGTAACGACCCGAAACGTCGGATTCCCTCGGGAACTCTCCAAGACGTCCGGGGACATTCAACCCCCAGCAACTGGTTTCCATGAGTTTTATACGATTTTAACCGTGTGTGGCCCACTGTGCGGGCCTGTTCAATTCTGTGGCATGTGGCTGTCCCGCTCACACTCGCTTACACAGCCGGCAGCTGGACAATGGGATGCTGGGGGGCGTCCCAGTGGGCCTCGCAGTAATCGACCAGTTGGTTCTCGGCCTTGGTCAGCTGCTCCTCGGGACCATCAACCCAGACCTTCTGGATGAGGCAGCACGACTCAACGGAGTCTTGGCCGAGGATACGGCTAAGCTTGGTGGCATCGTCCACCTTGATCACGTAGATGTCGTTCTCGTAGCAGAAGGCCTCCAGGAGCACCTCGTGCATGTGGGTGGCGGAGTCACCGTCCTTGGGCACGGCCATCAGGCAGAAGAGGGATCCCTCCGGGGACTTGGAGAGCACGTTGATGGCGGCTGAGAGTCCGACGATCACACGGGTCTCGCTCTGGGCCCTCATAAGGGCCGATTTGACGACGCGTCCAATTGGGGCGCACTCCATGGCCAGATCGATGTCCAGCTCCAGATCCATGTCGATATCCATGGCGCGTTCTAGATGCATGGTGCAGGTCTCCTCGACGACCATTTTGTTAGAGTAATCCGTTTGGTTGGGGTTTTCGTTTGAGTTTTGAGTAATTTTCAAGCCGTTGGCTTCCACTGTTTTGGCACTTTTGGCTGGCACTGAGTTTGCTCGCCGTGTTTTTGTTTGCTTCGAGTGTTTGATTCGGCACTCGATTAACTTTTGATTATGAAATTCTTTTCGCGCTGTGTCGCTGCGTTTCAACCGTTTGTCCGCGTTGTTTCAATTTTGAGTGGCAATTTCACAATGAATGCCCTCAGTTGGCGAGCGGGCGCTTTTATAGCCGCGCTCTCAGCCGCCTGAGAATTCCACGGAATTTCATCAGAAACCCGCGAGAGGGAGCTTTTCGAGGGGCCCGCTCATCGGCTCTCTGGCTCTCTTTTCCGCTCTCTGCCAGCTTAAATCGGGTTTTTTTGTCAACTTTTTGGGGATCCAAAATGTTTCCGTTGATTTCGAGGCAATTAGCAGATTGGGGGTTTCTTTCCATGGCCTGCAAACTGCAGTTTTTGGGTGCTCCAGATCGAACAGGGTCAGGCAACTTAGCAGGGCTCTCTCCACTCCCACACTCCCACTTCAGAGGTGAGAAAGTGGCTCCCTTAAGTTAAGAGACGCAAATCTTATCTTTCAACGGAAAAAGCATGTGCCATCGAGTTATGAGTGAATCGAAATTCGCTCATCAAATTCGCACCGAAACCGAAAATCTGTAAATAAATTTCACTTGAACGATTTTTATGATTTTCCTTAAACACCTCTTCCCCAGAATCTTGTGAATGGACCACTAAAACTTGGCACACGTCCAGCTGGTGAGCAACAGGTCAATAGTCTATATAATTTTGGCGACCAACGCGGCGTATACGCGACATATACTAGGCCAATGATTAACGGATGACCTTACTTAACGCACTCGAAATGGATTCGGGTTAATTTTATTTCTGTGTTGGATTCGCACGAACGACAGTGAGCAAACCCCCCCTCGTAAATCCATTATTTCGGGATCTTGCCCAGACGATTGGACAAACAGAACCGGACGATTGGCCAAACACAGAGGAGGCTGCTAATCAATTTATCGCGGTATTCCAATTTTAAATTCCCCCCCTGAACGCCGTGCAATCAGCACGTGGGAACGTGTCGAAATCGGTAGCTGAGATTGCCCCGTGGGTTTTATCAATTGAACCCCGCAAACTACGCCATTAAAAGGTATTTTCACCTCCGATCCGGACGCGGGTTCAACTACCGCACATTAATGCACTTTTAAGTGATTAATTATTATTTTTATCGCCGAACTGCGTTCTGCTGGGGCAAGCATAATTCGGAGGGCTTTGCTTTGCCCAACTTGTTGTGAATCGCAGCACATCAGTTATAAATAGCACCTGCAAGTTGATATTTACATATGTTTTAGTTTTTTGTCGAGTTGAACAAACTGCTGAAAGTGCAGGGAAAATGAAAACAAATTCGTGGACGATTGCAGGTGGTAATTCAATAAGATTTACGACGAAAACAACAGGATGTGCTGAAGGGTGGATCTTAAAAACTCATAAAGAGTCAAGTTTTTGTAAATTAGAGCACTTGTTGCTGACCGAGAAACTGAGATATTAAATCTATACCGACGACAGCTGTTACTATTGAGGTAATCTTAGTAAATTTAAAACTCTAGTTCGTACTTATCCAAACCCAAAGCTAATAAATAGGATTTCCCATTTAAGATTTCACCTATCCCTGCAAATATTCTGCAAAAGAACCTTCTCGAAACCCAAATAAAAGAACAACCAAGTGAAGAGACACAACCACATCCACAAGCACGTATGTAAGCAGATTATAATAACAATACTTCAATGGGCTCTCTTCACCTTCCCACCCAACTTCCCCCCAAATTACTGACCTATGTGCTTCCACTCGAAAACATAAACAATTGCCGTGCTTACGAGGCGCTTGCCTAAATGGATCATCCGGGGAATTGCTGAGAAGTGCATCAGAAATAGAAACTGCCGACTCAGCTCACAATTTGCGCGCCAAATTCGCCTCGAAAGTGGCCAATGAACCTGCTGTTGAGCTCGCAGGGAAACCCGAGAATGGGTGACCAAACGGGTGGTTTCAAGCTAGATCTGGCTATGGCTATTTACATATATATTCATCAATATACTTTGCATATTTTATTTACTTTTGCTTTTTGGTATGTAATTAAAGTTTCATCATCATAATTAGGTTTTAAATATGCAAAACTTAGGTGCCTTGCTGTCAAAAATAAAATCTTTCTATATGAATATATTGAAAGCTGTACATATACCGAAATCTATAATATTTTAACTTTACATACTTTAAAAATATGTCTAAGTATCAATTTTTAAAGATTAAGACTTTCAGCATGTTAACTTAAATCATAAATTCCTCCAAGTTGACTTAATTTTATAAATATATTTAAAGTTATTCAAAGAAATAACAAGATTCCTTCGCTTATAATAGACAGAAAGTAACTATATTTGCTTGTCTATTCCAGCGAGGAATTCGAATTCTCACGAGTTTATAAACGACAATTGAGAATGTTTTATTACTCGGTCGAACGTGTGAATTCGAAGTTTTAATTTTCCATTTGGGTTAATCCAGACGTCACAATCAAATACCTATCGCAATGGATTCTGATATTTTTAGCTTTTTGCGGGGGTTTCTGCGGGCAACACTGCCTGCGTACTGTTTACCCTGCCACCCCATTATGTGTGCAACATGCCCGGCACATGTGATGGCCTTTGTTGCGGGGTGACTGCGACGAATGCCATTGAGTCCGCAGAGTGATCGGTGCATGGAAGAGTGTTTTTTCACGTACATAACGATCTCCTCCTCGCCTCATCGGCGGATGCCCAACTGCTGAGTCACGCCGGCGCAGCACTAAACTGGGCCCAAACCCACGGCAACCGAAAGAGTTGGCGCAAAGTGAGTCAAAGCCAAAAGAGAGTGAGAACTGGTTTCAAGAGTTCCCCGAAAAAGCGTTTGCATTGGACCGTATTCGGCATTCAAAGCCGGTCCAAAGTCCTCACATGTCTGAGCTACCTGCAACCGGTCACTAATGCCCCGCATTCCGATGTCTGCCGCCTAAAACATCACGTGCACCACCAGCTACTCGACTCGTAGCCAGTTCTTTTTTGCAGGCCTTCTTTGAGGTTCAATTATATGTATGCAATGCAGCTATGTTGGGGGATTTCCCACTTGCCTGGCTTCAGGGAAAACCCCAATCTCCAAGAGAGTTCTCTGCGAAAAAGCCCCAATGCAATATGGCTGTGGTTTTTTTTTTCGATCTTCGGCCGTTTTCCCCACTCCGAATGCGATATTACAGCCAGAAATGTATTTTTGTGGTGCTTAAGATTACATTTTATCGCCCCTTGCTGGGGATCCAAGCTAAGAAGGGCTTCCCGAATTATTATTACGATATATATATCATATTTAAAGTTAATGGAAAAACATCTGCAAGAAATGATTTTATATTTCGGTGTACACCAATTAGTTTTTGTTGTTAGTTGATTGTTACTTAAAAATTATTATTAAAATTGTCTTCAAAATAAAAAAGGTTTCTCCATTTCTTCCTATGCTAGTTTTTGCCTTTAGTCATACAAACTTTAAAAAAAGTTATTAGAAAAATTATTCAATTTGTACTTTTTTGAAAAATGAATTCATTTTAATCATAATTGAAATTTTTTTTTTATTTAACATTACCCAAGCGAAAAAGTTCTAGCTAACGAGAAATATTAAAATAATCAAACTTCGCCAATTCTTCGTTAGTAAATCTTTTTTAGAACTTGTATCAGCTGGGAATTTTAATGTTTTCGTTTGTAATATTTTTTATTCATTTACAAAGAATCTAAATACAGAAGAAACTTTTGTTATTTTGAAGAAGCGATTTTCGACTTAAACAAGATTTATTCTCGAAACTAAGAAGAAAGATAATTATTCTTAGAACCGAAATTTAAGTAATTTTTAATACAATTTGAGATACAAATTACTCAAAGCAAACTCATGGAGAATTCATTTTTGGTAGTGTATTTTCTACCAGGTGATAAGGCAAAAGGAGCAATTCGAGTTCTGCCAGCGGATGTGCAACGAAGGAGTGGGTACAGATTTATCGCCTTTGGGAAAACCCTAATTTTAAAGATGAAACCTCACTAGAATAAACGTTTCTTTTGTTTCGCAATCTGGTTGTATTTCCCATTTCGAATTCAGATTGATTGTTCTTTTTCGTTGAGCTTAAGATGAAAAATAGCCCTAGGTGGTGCTTCCCAAATCATAAGGCCTAATATTAAATAATATTGTAAGAAAGTGCATTTCAAATAATGGCGAAATGATTCGGCTGCTTCTTGTGGAGACATAATTGCAGGGAAGAACACGTCGCAAAACCTGCTTAAACAACCTTGTGAAATAAAAGAGAAGCAAAGAGAAACGAGAACCAGAGACTTAACTGAGGTGAAAGTCATGAAATAAGGGCAAAATGATTTATATAAATATTTGTTCATGTTCATTAATGGCATTAAAATGTTCAACAAACGTGTAATGGCAAAAGAGGATATCTTATATATAGGCTATATTATTATTATTATTATATTCTATTAAACCAAAACATAATTATGAATCTCTTATGCCATTACAATTTGCTTTTATTTAAATTGCCAACGGCCATAACCGTTTCGGTTTGCTCCCCCACTGATGGCAACTCTATCCGTTAAGCTCGCTCCGGACATCTCTCACTCTCTTGCTGCTAAAGCTCTTCCTCTTCCTTCCTTGCTCTTGCTCTGATTTGCGCTTCCTCTTCCCTGTAAACAAAAACACACCAACAGCTGATTGCGTTCGCAATCCAGTGTTAGTAAACGTCAAATTCATTATACAGGCAATTTATGTAATTCGCTTAACAATTAAGTCGCATAAATTACAGAATAGAGTCATTAGGGATAAGCTGTTGACATTTCTAGACGAACTCTGACTCACATTGGTTCCGGTGCTAGGAACTAACAACCGTACCCCCACGCCAGCGCAGTGCCAAAAGCTCTTTGTTATTGAAAACACCATCAAAGTCAAAAAAGTCAAAAAAAAGTTGAGAGAAATGACGTGAACAACAAAGAGTTGCTCTTTGTAAGCATTTCAAAACGAAAAAAGAAGTTGGCCCAAACCGAACTAATTGCCCGAAATGGGCTAGATGGGAAAAACAAACACAACAAGCACGCTGGCGTGAGCGAGATAAAAGCAACGGGGCAAACCGGCCCGAGCATTCAGTTCTCTTTCGGACGACCAAAGCGGCGGATCAGCGATTGGATTCCATCCGTGGCTCCGCTCACATCTCGCACTCGCACTGGCCACAATTAGAACGCGAAAATCCCCATTAAGCGTTAATTTTTGCATACAATGGAGTACCTGAGCTACGTCTACCAGAAAATCTTCGGTGGAAATCCTCCTACGGACGACACGCAAGGGGACTTTCACACGTGAGTAACGGTTCCCATCGGAAAAGCTCTGACGGTGGAAAGGGGATTTTTCTGATTATCGGGGTTTTTCTTCGTTCAGGCCTCGGAAGGTCATCTGTTTCGGCAATGTCCTGCTCGACCGGCTGGTTAAACTAGAGGACCCCCAACTCCTGGAGCGGTTCGGCCTGGAACTAGGATCTAAAGGCGAACTGGACATGGATAAACTCAACCAGTTGGCAGCGGAAGCTTCCGAGAGGTAAGAATCTTAATGTAAAACCATTCTAGGTGTAATTCTTCTTGAGAAAATTTGTATTTAAGGAAATATTTTTATACCCTATATATGTAGTTATAGGCAAGTTAATTTAAGGGATTATTAATAGCTTATTACTGGATTTATTCCCAAGAATATTTATGAAGGAAGAGGAAAGATCTTCCCTGAAAACTAAGAACACAAAAGATAAAAGACAAAGAACTTTTACACACAAACATCAACTCACGAAGCTCTTTCAGGTACTGAATAAATTGGACCTTTTTTCTAATCTGTAACGAGATGAAAACTGGTTTTATATATAGAGGCTTAAGTGAGGAAGTTTTCGAGATTACGTTGATACCTAACAGTTTTCATGAATTACACTTTCAAATTTAGTTGTTTTTATAATAAAGCTGAGCCTCTATAAGTTCGTTTTTAATTTAGCAAATGTTAAATGTAAGCTTAAGCACCTTATAATTAAGAAAGATCAAGGTCGAATGGACATTTACCTAGATAATAAATATGCAAACAGAAAATGCCTTTCATTCCTAATGGGAGCATCCTTCAAGCTATAGATAATAATCACAACTTAATCCATTCTAGCTCTCAGTGCCTTACGAATCCAGGTGGCTCGGCCCTTAACACTGCCCGCATTCTGAAGCAACTGGGAACGGATGCCCTTTTCTTTGGCGCCGTTGGAGCTGATAAACACGCCGATGAACTGAGAACGATCTTTCGGGAGCGTGGCATCGAGGCCAGGTTGCAGACTGTCGAGGATGCACACACCGGACAGTGCGTATGCCTCATGTACCAGGATAACCCCACACTGTACGCCAACATTGGAGCCTCTGCCCAGTTCGAGGTGCAGACCCTGAGCCACGCCGTCAGCCACGAAGGGCAGAGCTTCCTGCGACCCGTGGAGCGCAAGCAGATCCTGTACGTGGAGGGCTTCTTCGTGCCCCAGAGGTGTGAGGTGTGCGACTACATAGTGCAGCACCTGGTGAGGGAGCGTCGGCGATTGGCCCTCAACCTCAGTGCCCCCTACATCGTCCAGAAAAATGCCCAGGCTATGCTGAAGCTGGCCCGCGTTGCCTTCTTCCTGTTTGGCAACCGCCAGGAGTTTGAGGCGCTGGCTGAGGCAGCCGGCGGATTCCGTAGTGTCGATGAGCTGGCGGAGCATCTTCTGCAGTCCGGCACCAAGGTCATATTCATCACCAATGGCAGTGCTGGCGTGCAGGTGATCACCAACTACGTCGAGGAGCTGGCTCCTCCCGGAAACGTTAGCTTCGAGGACTACAGGGCGCAGCGCGTGGATGAGATTGTAGATGCCACTGGCGCCGGAGATGCCTTCGTGGCAGGATTCCTGCATGCCTGGCTGGAGAAGCGGTCGCTGGGCGAATGCATTCGCATGGCCTCCAACGTGGCCGCCAAGGTCGTCACCCAGGTGGGCTGCAATCTGCCCTAGACCAACGACCTGCATCGCAATCTCAGAGAGCGCACAATCAAGCACCAAAGTAGACTCTTAGCATGTAATTACTCCCGTAATCTTCACAAACACTAGGCTTAGCCAAACACCTATCCGTGGTTTCACAAAAGCAATAATCTTAGTCTTAATATGACTAATTAAAAGTGATTTACACATCGTCCTATGAAAGATAAGAGAATTAATTCTGTTTTATTAATTTTCGTATAAGCTATGGAAGTGCATGGGTATTTTTCCGAGGTGTACTTGTGGCTTTCTGAGGACTCGGGTTCTGTAGCCTTTATTCATTTTAATTGGATTCTGAAATAAGTATATTAGTTTTATATAATAATAATAAGTAGTTTTGAAAGAGAACACTCTTTAAAGAGCTAAACCCGAACCACAACATCTAAAATTGTGATGGACGATGCAAGTGTACCTATATGTAGCACATTGCCATTCAACTTTGGTTTTGACCTTCGAGAGAAGAGATAAAAAACTAAAATGTAGTATATTGTGTGTAAAATGTGCCCACAGCTTATCAAGTCATGCTATGAAATCACCGGAACACTCTTTTTAATGTTTAAATATAGATTTGAGAGAACTGCTTTCTGCACAGTGGGTATGAAAGTTTCCTTGATTGATATTTATAACATGTGAACTAATTCGAAGAAAGAAAGGTACCAACATATATATTCTCGTTACCCAAATTCTTATTTAAACAGTTTGGTTTATGACTACGAAAATCGCAGTGCATTTTAATACCCGCCAGATAAATGAAAGTTTATACACAGCTGATGATTGTTCGACCTCGATTGGCTTTGTAATCCGATTGTATTATTCACTCGATCGCCGGAGTTCCCACTGGCCAGTTCCGTTGTGAGAAACGTCATCTACAGCCGTTATCATGCAGTTAATTCCCCCTGAGATCTCCAGTACATTTCTTTGTGCGGTGGCACACATTCTTCGAGATGCCTTATTATCCGCAAACAAACGATTCTCATTTTCCTACGCCGGATTACTCATGCATCTTATGTATCTTATTTGCCATGTACGGCCCACACAAGTCAGTCAATAAGTGACGACTTGGCCCAAAGAGAGCTCGCATGCCCAGATGCCATCAAAGCGAGTTCCGCTTTTGTGCTTGCTGTGGGGGTGGATTGGGCCTGGTCTTCGGTTTGGATGACACACATGTTTGCGAATCGTTAACAAAAACTAAGCCGCATTTGGCATGCTTGTGTAAGCAGGGCCAAGAGCCCGGCCAAAACCAGCTGATGCCAGAGGGGTTGGAGGACCAAAGCCCTCGAAACCATAAAGAACTTCGGGCTTAGGCCGAAAGCAATTCCGCACTTTAAAGGCCAATTCCCGGATCAGCGTAGTGAGCTGCCTAATTGGCAAGAAGCCGCTTAAACGGGACAAGTGGATCCAAGGAAATGGCAGTGGGAATGTGCCAAAGTCAATATTGGCACACCCATCCAATTGAGTGTATCGAGGGGCTCGGAGTGGGTCTGGCTTAAATCACAACATCCCGGCCCTGTTAATTACTCGATATTAATTTTATACCGACTGCCAGGGATCCAGAGAACCTTTCCAATAGCTTCCTATGCTGAGGCCACTGGGCATGCCAATGCCAGTCCTTTGTCGGGTCCGTAATTAATGTCATCGTGTGGTTTATGGGGTTAACAGCCACTCCACATTTGGTACGCCACTCTGGCCCTATCCCTTTGATGTCTGCGTGTGCGTAATGGCCGTATCCAGACTTAGCCAAGGCCAGACTAAGATCCTCACTAGCATGTGATAATTAAATGTCCTCATTTGCCCTGTTTAGCATTTTAATTTACAATAAATTGTGCTTCGAAAATGGCCGTAAGTCGAGGTAATAACCCAAGGAGTGCACTTGGAAAAGGATCTTTGGATATATTCTGAATTTCCAATAATTATTTCTGATTTTTAAAACTATTTTATCTTGGTTCTTATCACTAGCCTAGTTTATTTATTTACATATTGTCAGTTGTAGGAATTACTAATCGAGTATTCACTTTTAATAATATAAATGCATTTTTTCACAGTGCGGGAAATGCACAAAAGGTTTTCCCCCATTTGATTTATGTGCAACGCTGCGTATGAGCAACCAAATGGGGCAGCTGTAACTGACATTGCATATTTGTCCTCCCACAAACGTTGCCCCTTTAGCCCCTCTCCACCCCCTCACAGATTCTCTGTCGAGCATGTTTGCACAAAATATTGCGCATACGCCGCCAGTGCCCAACCTTCTTTGCCATTCGGCTTTGTCCTTTTGCCTTTTTGCGGCATAACGCGCGGTTAAGTGGCCATAATGTGTGCCTTTATGGGCTTGGCATTGGCATTGGCATTGGACTCCTTTTTGGCTTGGCGGCTTCGTGGCTTGGTGGCTTGCTGAGTCGCAGCCCTTGTCCTGGTCCCATTTTAATTCCTTTGCCATATTTGCTGAGCCAGCATTGTTGCTGAATTATGTTATGCCAGTCGGTCGCTTGTTGATTTTTATATTGTTTTTTTTGTGTCTGAACTGGACTTGGTTCCTGTTCCGGCCTTCCTGGACTCTCGCCTGTTCTCGTGTGCATGATAAGCGACCAGGCCAAAATATTTGGCTCTGGCATGTTTGCTCAGTTGTTTGCGGATAATCCGGTTTTATTGTTTAATAAGTCATGCCGGCTATCGCTCCAGACTGTCCAACCTGTCCTCCATCCCGCCCTGCGCCCTACTCTCTGCTCCCTGCCCCCTATTTTCCCAAAAGTGTCTGACTGGAAACGTTAGCGGCTCGTTGGCTTTTTGACTGCCTGTGCGACGGAGCATGGAAGACCTTTTTTTGGATGGGGATTTCTGGCATGGGTTCGGATGAGCGTGGTGAAATCGATGGCCAAATTAAATGGGGATTTACATATTGCCACGGCAAGAGCTTTAATTTGAAGGGAATCTTTGGGTGATTCAGTTGTTATTGGGGAAAACTCTCCTGATTGGTTACTGTACTGCTATGTTCGCTTGATTTTAGATGTTTTGCTTTGAAATATGAGCCATACTTATTATCTTTATCAAAGATTACCCAAAGATAAATAATTTGATAATTTCGAAGTAAAGAACATTTATTAAGTACCATTTCGACATATTTACAGAAGTGGGTATTGTACATAGGTGGCTACACCGCACATGTTGTTAGCATTGCGGGCCAGCCTGAAGAAGCCGTTCTCGCCCCACGTTGTCCCATAGGAGTTCTTGATCAGCCAGTACTCCCCCCACTTGGGATCCGTACCGAAGCCCACAATGAGCACTGAGTGATAGAGGTTTCCTTTGTCCGACCTGCATGCGGGAATCCTTAAGACTCCTCCGGAGTACTGATTGAATTCATCGTGAAGGTGGTCGATGGACGCTGTCACGGGTCCAATGTTGTAGACCACCTCGGCCAGTTCCTTTTCATCGTCTTTATCTAGAGTAACGTATCCCCGCAAGGTGCCTGCACTGTTTTTGGAATTCCAGTTGCAATCATCCTTCTCTGGCTTGTAGGGATATGATGCCTTTGTGGCAATACCATTATCCCTCGTGTAGTTGAAGGCCAAGCCCACCCAGCCACCTAGGCAGCCGAGACTTGGAAGGGGTACGCAGTCCACTAAGTGTTTGGGCGATAGGGGCACCATCCGTTTATTCTTCTTCGCCAGATGTGCCTCCAAAACACCCGTGGTGGAGAAGGCCCAGCAACTAAAGCACTGCGTGCCTTGATCTCCCACCTCCGAGACAAGGCCAAACTTACGCCAGTCTATCCCGCCGGTTATCTGGTTGTAGGACTTGTAGCCAGGGGGTTTCGTCACGATCCTAGTACCGGATTCCGGTGGCGGTGGTACGGAAGTACGGAATTTAGAGAGTTGACTTGGGTCGACGTCGGAGAACTGGTTTAAGCGCATCCTGAATCCCACTCTTCCCTGGGAATAGAGCCTGTTGTTATGGGCAACAGCTTGGACACTATTGCTGAACAGCGCCCTGTGATACTTGTCGTCAATTTCGCGTCGGTACCTCTTCATGTATTGCGCCTTGTACTGGGTCCATTGGGCATCGCTTACCAAACTCATCGCCAACTCCGCAAAGAGCAGAAGGACAAGTACTGGAAGTACAAGTTCCTGAAGGGTTTTCATTGCGTACTGGACTGGTCCAATGCTGGTTTAAAACTGATCCAAAGCTTGACGAGATCAATATGAGGTGCCGTCTTCTGTAGTCGACTGTAGTGCGTGCATTATCTTGGGTTTTTTATTTAGTATGAACAGATTCTTTGAAGGAAAAGATTACGCTGAGATTTCTCAGGAAATTGCATATTGCAATAATACATTACCTCGACCGTTCAGTCAGTGAACCCAACATAACTTTCTTATCAACCCATAATATTGTCAAAAGAAGCTTGATACTGTGCATTGCACTAAATTAATCTTTGTCGGATTCGACTTTCTTGGTTTTTCGTTGCATCTATGTATTTAATTCTTGAGGAAGTGGAAAATGCTTCCCAGAATATTTTCGTTACATTTTTCTATTCGTCTTAACGCACGTGTTGATCTCTTCTTCTATCTATGCCCAAATTGTTCATGCATTAGTGAAATTTGCTGTTGGTGCGAATGGGATATACATAGTGTTATTTACTATGATCTTTATGCAAAAGTAAGGGAGAGGAATACATTGGCTTACACCTAACTGTGTATAGATAGATAGTGTGACTGCTTTTTACACATGTTAGTGTGACCGCCTGCTACATTTTTGTGTTAAGGACAAACGATTTACGAAGAACAAAAGCCCATCTTAAAAATGAATTTATCAAAATGTTTTTTAAAATATTTTTGCATATATGTATTTGCCGAAATATAAAAATCTTCTCCCACAACAATTTCTTAGAGTTTTCATTGCATCTTTACGTATTTCCATTTCGAATAATACGATTAGTTTCTTAGAAAATGTACTAAAATTCCAGATCAATCGATTATTTTCTTGTACAGTACCCAATATCTATAATTATTAAGATTCATTTTTCTGCTTACCTAATTACAAAAAGTTTCAAATTAGCTTTTAAATATTAGATAAGAAAATTGTAGATATTTAATGAAATTTCAAATGCAAATCTCTCTGCCAGGATTTGCAATCAGCCCAGCCTTACATCCTATGGGAATGGCGATGGCAATCGCACTTCAATTACATTACACTCATCATTAGCCAATTAGCTAAATTATAGGCTGCGCAACGACAATTTCCAAATGGCTTCAGTTCCCACTTCCACATCCACTTCCAATCCAATTCCCACTCCTATTCCCATTTCCATTGCCATTTCCGTTTATATTGTCAATCGCTACCCCGCAGATTGCCTTCCTCGATGGCGACAATTGGTGCGAAATAAAAGACATTTGCCCAGCACTTTGCGGCACAGTCTGAAGTGGATCTGGCAGGGAATCAGCTTAGAGAAAGTGCGGAGAAATGGCAATCGAGGATATTGGCCTGGTGGGCATCAATGTGCGGATGTGGCGGCACTTGGCCGTACTTTACCCCAGTCCGGGCACAAACTGGCGCAAGTTTGCCTTCGTGCTGCCGGTGACTGCGATGAATCTGATGCAGTTCGTCTACCTGCTGCGGATGTGGGGTGACCTGCCCGCCTTCATCCTGAATATGTTCTTCTTCTCGGCCATTTTCAACGCCCTGATGCGCACGTGGCTGGTCATAATCAAGCGTGACCAGTTCGAGGAGTTCCTCAACAAATTGTGCGCTCTTTTCCACTCGATTCTGGAGTCCAGCGACGAGTGGGGGCGTGACATACTTCGGAGGGCGGAGAGTGAGGCCAGGAGCCTGGCTATACTTAATTTGAGTGCCTCCTTCCTGGACATAGTCGGAGCTCTAATCTCGCCGCTTTTCAGGGACGAGAGAGGTTTGTACATTTAGATTCATATTAGAACACGTCTGTCCGTCTGTTTAGAAGTTTAGTACAAATGTATAAAATATGAAATGAAAATTGGACATGCCCATGTAAACATTCTTTCTAGAAAACAATAAAACATTCCTGAAGTTTATAAATATTTCTTAAATATGAAACTCTGCAATGTTTTCGTGAATGTAAGGATGTTCTCTCTCTACATTTTTCCTCTTTCAGTTCATCCTTTCGGCGTAGCTCTGCCCGGACTGAACATGACCCGCACTCCCGTGTACGAAATAGTTTACTTCGCCCAACTGCCCACTCCCCTTCTGCTGTCCATGATGTACATGCCGTTCGTCAGCCTCTTTGCCGGCCTGGCCATCTTTGGCAAAGCCATGCTGCAGATCCTGGTGCATAGGCTGGAACAGTTTGGCAGGGAGGAGCAGTCGGAGGAGGTCTGCTACCAAATGCTGACCTCCTGCATTCGGTACCACATGCAGGTTATGGGGTGAGCCACAAAGTGAAGGGGGATCAGGGGATCTCTAAGCTTCTCATTTCCATTACAGCTATGTGTGGGAGCTGAACAAACTGGTAACCAACATTGTGGCGGCCGAAGCAATTATCTTTGGCTCGATAATCTGTTCACTGCTCTTCTGTCTGAACATAGTAGGATATTGATTTTATCAGGGGAGTCACAGAAGTCTTCTCTTTAACAGATTCTTTGCCTCTCCTAAGACTTAAACTTAAGAAACCTATCCTACAGCCTTATAATGTCTTTCAGATAACTTCACCCACCCAAGTAATCTCCATAGTGATGTACATCCTGACCATGCTGTATGTCCTGTTCACCTACTACAATCGCGCCAATGAAATATGTCTCGAGGTGATCACAAGAGTTTATTTCATTTATACCCTTCCCATAATTTGAGTAAGTAATTTTCTGCAGAACAACCGAGTGGCGGAGGCCGTGTACAATGTGCCCTGGTATTCAGCCAGCATTCGGTTTCGCAAAACCCTTCTGATCTTCTTGATACAAACCCAACATCCGCTGGAGGTGGGTGGATGCATTTCATTTCATTTGCGAGTCCGTGATTCTAATCCATTTCCATTTCGGGTGCGGTGCGCTCCATTTCATCTTGCAGATAAGAGTTGGCAACGTTTACCCCATGACTTTGGCCATGTTTCAGAGTCTGTTGAATGCGTCCTACTCCTATTTCACCATGTTGCGTGGCGTCACCAGCAAATGAGCTGAAAGACCGAAAAAACGGGCATCCATTGGGCACCAAAGGCTCCTCTGTCTGTCCCTCCTGCTTTTTCCCCTCCTTCTGGCCGGCAATCCGAGTAATGCAAAAAGTTGTTGTTGGCTGTGGTCCTGACTGGTTGTTTGGCATTTGCATATGCTTGTCGTTTGAAAGGATTTAATCGGACTGCTGGCACGGAGTCGGCATCCTGGCTCCTGGCTCCTGGCTTCATACTCCCGGCTCTTGGCATGCAAATAGTTGGCTGCTTTGAATTGGCTTCTTAGTTGTTATACAAAATAGATTGTAGATTACAGCAAAATGTTGTGCTTGAAATAAAGTCAAATGAATGTGGAGTAGGATTCGAAAGCAAGGTTTTACGAGTTTTGTTTGCCTAAAAGTATGATTTACAAATATCAAAGGATATGGATTTGTGGCGGAGCTGGTTTTCAATTTGGCTTAGAAAGATGGTCAAGAATGATATGAATAAATAAATAATTCGGCTTCCGAGCAATTAGTGTTGATATTGATTGAGTTGAATTAGTCGGAGTTCTGGATGGGCTTCACGTTATGCATTTTTCATTGCTCAATTTTGCCTGCATACTTTCGGGCGGACCCATCGAATTAGAATATCTGAGGGGTCCATCCGTCCTTTGCGCTTTTAATTAAAATGCCCAAAACTAGTCGTTGTCTGCTGCAATTTAATTAACATTAGTCATGTCCTTTATTATGCAAATAAACGGCTTCTGCTGCTGCCAGAAAGATCGTTTAATGCCGGCCCCGACAGCCATAACAACTTCATTTAAAATTCATTATAAATGACAGCAACTAGTTAAACAATTGCCAGCGGCAGGAGCATAAACATCAGTATCAACAAAGGACAACTAGTACAGGAGCAAAACAAGGACGAGGGTGCGCTTGGAAAATTGAAATGAGCGGCGGCAGGCGCGCTTGAAATACGCAAATAAACTTCAAAGAAGGACGACTGCACGCTGTGTTTTCCGCTGGATGTCCTGCCGAGCGCATAAATAACAATGGAGCACGGCGAGGAGGAGCAGAAGGTGGAGGTGTAGCAGAAGGAGGTCCTCTTGGGCTGCTCCTATCGCCCGGCTCGAGTGGCGTATACTTAATTTTATTATGAGGTGTCAAGTGCGGACCAGTTGACTTGCCCGGCCGAACGCCTTTTGTGTTGTATTTTGTGTTTTGCTCCGTTATTTATGTTGCCTGCCGTCCGCCATTTGGTGGCAGGTGAACGCCTACGTGTCCCGCCCCTGTCCAACCAGCAACAATGTGAACTTCCTCTGGGCTTCTACTTTTTCTTATTACACTGAAACGAAATATTCTTGTGATTGTTTCTGAATTTAGTATTGAAAAGGTGTGAAATTTGGTAAGGGAATCCTATCCAATAAAATAACTAATGATTTTTATAATATTACTTATATGTTATAAGGTTATATGGTATAGGATCCGCTAACTCAGAGATTACTATAATCTCTTCACTGATTGCTATTCTTTTGTCACCGTGTACAGGACCTATAGTTCCTTGGCTCCTGCTGGCAGCTGGTCCTTTGATTTTTATACAGGCGATATGCAAATGCCGCCGGAAATGTAAATGCGCCACTCGAAATGAAGGAGAGACACCCTGACGGTATCGCATCCTGTCCTCATTGTCTGCTGCATAAAATTAACAAGTTTCGCTCCCGCTTTGGCAAAAAACTGTTTCATTAGAGAACAGTTCGTGGTCGCGGTCGCTGGCCACGCCTACTCCAACGCCCAACCACCCAGTGGCACACCCAAGCGAAGGTTACGTTGTTTTATAATTGAATTCATATGCATCAATGAAGGCAGCTCAACAAACACAACACAGGAGCCCAAAGGGAAAACTGCGGGGGGTGAGTGGCAACCGCAACATGGCAAACAGGCGGGATCCAGGGGTTTTTCCGGGTTGGGTGGCCCACTTTTTCGGTGGCATTTTCAATTTTAAATGGATTTTCAATTGCGGTGGCAGCATTTTGCATAAATTGCTGTAATGAGTTTATTTCGAAGCCCTCCAAGTGGCTTCGTTGGCGTCTCTCCATGTCCATGTGCTGCTCCGGGATGATGCCACGGGTTGTGTGGACTATGTGGCTCGTGCTCATTTGCAATTGTCAACTGGCTGTCACGAGAGACAGTCGTATTGACAGTTTGCTTTCGCTGTTAATTTTCATTTTAATTGTGGCATTTGGCTGACAGTTGATGCTGGCTGGAACTTTGTTGGGTGTTTTGCGGTTGATTCGGGAAATTCCATTTGGACCACCTCTTGGGAGGGGCCAAGAGCTTAACTTTAAGTGCCGGAAGTTGGTCTCTAGTTGAAGTGAATCGAATGCCCATCCGTCGAACGATGTTTGGCTAAACAACCCTTTGGCTGTGCCATCAAATATTCCATCTATTGTCTGTCGGGTCATTTGCGAAATCTCTCATAAGCAAAGCATTCATTTTCCAATTATTTATTGATGCCTCTGTGTCGAACTCCCTTACTACAACAGCACCTGCTATAAATCTCCAAAGCTCCCCCCTCTGTGTCCTTCGTCCTTGGTGCCTCGCCCTCCGATTCAATGGACAAGCACATTGTCTAGCTTCCTGCAGGATGTTTGTCTGGCTGCTGGCTGTTGGTCGTCTGCCTCATGGTGCCTTGTGCCTGGAAAATATTTGCATTTTCACTTTTGATTTATTATTGCCATTGCCATGTGTAAATTGCCAAAGCAAAGGTGCAAACAACAAGGTCTACGGCAGGCATCTTCCAGGACTAACCGCAAATGCAGCTGCAGTTGGAGCAGGAATAGCAGTAACAGCAGGAGCAGCCAGCGTTGACAAGGACACATTATGTTTGGCCAAATGAATGGTAATTGCGGCATTGAAACAAGTAATTGAAGTGCAAGCCAAACAGATTGCCAACTTTAGGATAGGTTGGCCAGAAGCTACTCTTCTCTGAGTGTCGACCACATTTCGATTGCTCTGGAGTTGGCCCAGAAAGAGGTCATTACAGTTTTGCTAATTACCAGACCAAATTAGAGAGGCTTCCCTCGAGCACCGACCTCCTCCGACCCTGCTCGCCTGATGCCATTGCCAATTACTTCCGCCTCTGTGCAATTTCCGCTTGCTCAGGTTGGAGCCCAAGTTGGAGTTGCCTAAGCAGCTTTTCTGGAAAACGTCAAAACAGCGACAACTTTATATGGTCACAAAGGCAACAGTAATGACGGCGAAAAGGGAAGCATAAGCAGATAATTACACAGGCGAGCCAACTATCTCCGAGCATCTTTTCCATTCCGCTTTCCCTGCGGTCACAAAGTAGAAAATTACAAAAATAAAAAACCACAAGCGGAAAATTAAGAGCAAAAGCCTGCGGTCCGGAGGAAAACTCCATTTGTTTGCGGCCTTAACTTGGCCCGAACTTAAAGTTCATCTTCGAGTGGCTGCCCTAGGCCTAGAACTTGATCGGGCCTTTGATTATCACTGCAAATGGGAAATTCCTGTTAGCCGAAAATTCCATCCAGCCGAGGAGCTGGGAAACTGCGGAGACATTTTCGGCATTTTTGACTGTCTGCCAGTGCCTGTAAGCGAAATGCAAACACGGAGTTCAAAACTCCATCCCCCAGCAGCTCCAACAGCTCGAACAGCTCCGACAACTCCAACAGCTCGAACAACCCCATCAACTCCTGCCTTTTGTGTCTGCCCTGCAGCCACATTTAAATATGCCGCCAAGTTTTACCTTCGCTTCGACGCCCCACCAAATCCCAGACCCTCGTTATCATCATCACATGGCGGTGGCTGGCACTGATTTCATGCTTTATAACTTTCGATATCCGAATGGCAAACAGCGTTTAGCGCTTTGCCATGCCACCTGAAAACGTGGAAAGTGCGGCAAGTGTTGCTTTGCTACCTCAGGGGCCATCACGGCGTATGCGCAATGTTTACTTTACATTTTTCTTCGTTTTTTCAGCACTCACTCTTTAGTGGTTGTTTTTCCAAGGGCTTTGCATTATTCTTTTGGCCAGGCAGGGGACCTCATGGCATATGCATGATACATCAAATATTTAAGCGATATTTTAGCTATGCCGACAATGAGTCAAATCTGAGGGAATGTCTGGGGATTCCGTCTGCGCCGAATGCGATAATAAAGTTTACAGATAAACGACTTGGCAATCGAATTATGCTCCCCAGCCCCAGAGATTTGATTTTATTCGTTTACATATTTCCATTTTGAATGTAGATCTTGTTTATCGTTTTGATTGGATTGTTTACGGGGACTTAAAGGGAGAGCGAGAGCTTTAAGACCTGGCCAAAATCGGGCTAGCCTGGACCACATGATATTGTTATTCTTGTCGTAATTAAAAACCCATGAAAGCAGGGACGGCGACCAAACAACTGGCCACAATCGCACGGGCAGACAAACGGACCGACAGACAGATGGACAGAGCGAAGGATCCAGGGGGTTTGCATGTGTGTGGCAGAATAAACATGAAGCGTATTGATGGCGAGGACTCCTTTCCAGGCGGGCGGCCCCCCCACCACTGTGGGTGTGGGCAAAAAGTTTCATATCAATTTTAAGCCAAAGTAATGAAAAAGTAACAACAACAGTCAAAGGAAACACGGAGCAGAAGGAGCTGGTGAGCAGAAAAAAAAAGGAAAATTAAAACGAATGCTATAGACAAAGCATATTTGCACGCAGCGGGAAGGACTCCATCGTGGAGGAAACCCGATGATGAAACCGATGATGATATCGTTGACGACGCCAGCGCTTTATGACAGCCCAATGGGTAGCAGGAGAATCAGGATCTGAAATCTGGGGAATAGGAACCCATTTCTTTGCTTCCTTCCTTGCTTCTCTTTCTTTTTTTTACTTTTTGGTACCGAACCTCTAAGGACGCTGTTTACATTCTCTGGAAAAGGACAAGCGGCGGCGGACCATGTCTGCAGCAGTGAAATTAAAAACCAATAAAAACGCTGCGGGGAGTGAAATTAAAAATTAT